ACTGTTGAACCAAAGCTTGGCAGTTTGAATCCACCAGCTGCTTGTTGGGAGAAAGATGGAGAGCCTCCTCCTGTGTGATTTTTAGCTTCTGAAAACCCATCGGACGGCCAGCTATGGGTAGGTTACTACTCAACAGTAATGAGTCTGAGTTGTTAGGATTTCCTGCCGTCTCCCCATAATATAGAATAGTAACAATTTAAAGTGAACACTGAGTAATATTCTGAATACAAAACTTGGGAAGAAAGTAGGCTTTGGGTCCCCCGACTAAAAGACACCACCGGAGTGTACAAATTTAGCACAATTAGTCCTTCTAGAACATGTTATTATGTTATAGATGAAAACAGAAAAACAATATAGGAGGGACAGTCAAGGTACCACAATTCGGCTTTCTAGAACATAGTATGATGTTATATAAAGAAATATAGGTGGGAGAATCAAAGGCTACCTTATTATCTGGAATTTGCTGTGTCACTTCATTGTCTGGAAGTACAACAGAATTCTAACTGTTGAATATATTTAATCCCTGCCAGACACTCTACATGAGCACTTTCAGTGGCAATGAATGTCCATTATCCACCATGGCCTTGGGTTTTGTTCTTTAACGTCATTTATTTTTCTTTAAAAATGTATGTATTTCCTACGTACTTTGAAAATAATTGAAATGGGCTAGAATAAAGGGTGAAGCAAAAATAACAAAGCAGGGTGGAGACAGCAGATAAGGAATGCCAAGGAAACTTCAGATAAGGGAAGCTGTTCTATCTGAGTGCAAGAGTAAACCTGAGATTCTTGGCAACAGCCCCAAAAAGAGTAACCCAAGGGATTTTCTGCAAAGAGGCATTGTTTCAGAGAAGGCAAACCCTCTTCTAGCTCTCTGTTCTAGGAGGAATTATCATAAGGTTTAAAATATAAGATGCATTTGAAACAGAATAATAAACAGTGGTCCTTTGCCACATGTTTTAACCAGAAATAGGAAGATATTTCTTGTAATACCAATCAATTGATACTGGACTTTAAAAAAATAATGTCCCAAAACCAAACCCTTTGCAATCATCTAGATTCTGATTTCTGGCAGGGCCATGTGTCAGGTAGAGATCTGTGTCTGAGGTTTTCTAGGCTATAATCTTTATGGAAGCAGATAGTGCCTGGCATTTTCTCTGCAGCAACATACAGCTCTTGGGTGGATAGTTGAGGGTTTACACCACCCAGGGCTGTTGTTTTGTTTTTCTAGTCTTGTTATGTTTTGTTTTTCTATTCTTGTTAAAGATCAATAGTACTTAATTGCTTTAGTAAGTCAGCTTCAGTTGTGCCATGTCAGATGGAAAAGAGAGCACATTTTCAGAGAGGTGACCTCAAAAGAGTGAACTTACATTTTCTCTTCTCTCCGGAAAGCCGTGGCTGTGTTAGGGGAGCCTTTCTGGTCAAGAGGAAGAAAAAAGCACAAGCAGGTCTTTTTTTCTGACCACTCCTAACCTCTTCTGGTTCCAGTGATTTTCCTGTGTGGACTCTGGTGGTGTAGAATCTGGGGGGCTGGTTTTAGAGGTGTATTGGTTTGACTGTAACTCTGATTACAGTGGTGGAAATGGTCCACTGCAGTAGCTCCACACTCCTGTTCAGATTCCAAATGTTGGGTTGAGTTAAATGAGAGACAAGATTTATAATCCTGACTTTTTCAGGTCCTTTCTCCGTTTTCCAGTTGTCTTTTGTATAGGAGATGGACATTCTTTGCTAAATGTAACTATGGTTACGAATATTTTCTAGAGGTTTTCAAATGACATCTAAAGTCTTGTAGTCCTGGTACGAAACATTCTGGGGGTATGATTACATGTAGAAATGAAGGTTAAATGTAGACTCATTTATATTTTGTGATATAAATGGTCTAAGGATTTTATTTCTCCTTAAAAAAACCACACTCCAACAACGCTTTAATGATCATGTTAAATTCGTAATTCAATGCAAAATTGAATTCTGAATACAATTTCTCAGGTCATGAGTATTCAGATTATAATAAGAAGCCTGGGTGACTCTGGAATCAGAGAGAAAAGGTACCCCCACTGCTATAAAGTCATACAAACAAGGCAGCAAGTTGACTTGATGGCTAGTGTCATTGAAGTAGTTAACTTTTCCAAGGGTTTTCCAAGGGTTGCCTTGGAAAAAACACAAACTTGAGATCCTTAGTTGGTTACCAGAAGGCAGATATTTCACTACCTGAATTAAAGAGAGACAACATGTGCACAGAAAAAAACAACAACAAACAAAACCCCCAAAAAACCCCAAAACCAAAAAACCCAACAGTTTCATTTTCTATAATAATTCTTTTTAGTTGTATATTATTTTATAGAGTAGATACAGAAAAATTCACTTTGGCATTCTGCTAATAAAAGGCATTTAGGGGAAATAAACATTTATATTGTTGCCAATTTAATTAAAAAATATACATATAGCTGCTTATTTTTCCCTTATAGGTCTCTATAAGAAAAGTTCTCAGCAATGACGTTATTATGTAAAAGGGCATGGACAATTTGTGCTTTCTATGTACAGTACAACAATCCCTTTCATAAAATGTTCCCAGCAATATATGGAAGTAAGAGTTTATCATTCATCAAATATTCTAAACTTACTAGTCCTCTGAGGTCTTCAAAATAACAATGCATTGAGCGCTAATGTACGTACAGTTGTCTAAGCACTTCTGTACATCAATCCATTTAATTATCCCAACATCCCTGTGAAGGATGTACTTGTTATGATCCTAGAAACTAAGGCAAAGAAGTCAAGGAAATTACTCTAGGTCCCACAGCTCAGAAGAGGCAGGACTGGTATTTGCACCATGCAAATGTAAACTCAGAACCTGCATATTCAATCTGAAGCTATATTGCTTTGTGATAATATTAGTTTTATTTTTTAGCATGTAGTAATTTTTTAAAATTCACAGGGTCCCTATGAGTCGCAAGCACATAACAACAACAATATTTTTTTAAAAATTGGGTAAATTATCAAATCATATATTTACAGAGAATCATAGCCATCTTAATCAATCATAATACATTTTATTATGGCAAATATATATGTAATAAAACATTTGAATTTTCTCTGTGGGGATGAATTACTGGTCTTAGGTCTTTAGGACCATAGTTTTGGGACACATTTAGGTTACTTGGTATAACAGAGTTCCCAGAGACATCCTACTTTCGTGAGTAGTGGCTAAGATCTTAAAAGCTTTTGAGCAGCCATCTACAGTTCAGCTATTGGTCTCTTCTTATCTGGAACAAACATGAATAAAGAAAACCAAAATGCACAGAAACAATCTAAAGCACTAATGGATCCCATGAACTTCAACATCCACAATTCTGAGACCAAACGAACTAGATGACACCCAACGATGATTACTCTAATCAATCTAGAGCACAGTAGAGGGTCCTGGGCAGAGGGGAGAAGAATGTGGAAAAAACCTCAAAATTATACAAATGCCATGCTTACATTATACTGAGTGAAATATCTCAGTCATAAAAAGACAAATACGGCATAATGCCACTGTTATAAAACAAGTCTAACATAGGGTTTGGGGGGAGACTGATAAAGAGGGGATAAATAATGTATACTGCATTGAAACAGATGAGGGCAAGAACTGTTTAAAAGGGATATATGATTAGGTATTATTGTCATGACAGAAGTCTAGAATGGGTGAGCTCTGGTGGCCTAGTGGCAGAAAACTGCACTGCAATCCCAGAGGTGCACGGTTCAAATCCACCAGATGCTCTGCTGAAGAAGGAGGAACAATTGCCTCCTGTACCAGTCAGATCCAATTTGACGGTACACACAAAAAAGAAATAAATAAAAATTATTAAAAAAAAAAGTCTAGAATGAAGGCTGCACAGTGAAGTGGCCTTGAGGGGAGGGATTGAATAACAATAAAAGAATTTTTTCTTTTACTTTTCAAAGATAAAAGCGAATTGGGGGGAGGGGTGGGCAGGGAGAAATATGCAACAATGAATGAATGGAAATCCAAAGTCTCTATAAACTTCAATTAAAATAAATTTAAAAAAAATAAATAAAAAAACAAAACCAAAACAAAACAAAATGGCCAAGCTTGCTGGTCTGATGGAGACCAATGAAACCCTCTAGTCATCCTTTGAACCCAACTCAACTTACCCCTGAGGCTTAACTGTCAGTCAAACAATAGATAGGCCTCTAAAGAGAACAAGAACGCCAAGGGCTGTTAATTCTTTAGAAAAATCAACCACACAAGATCAAAAGGGCAACATATGCCCAGGGATAAAGCTTGGAGAGCAGAAAGTGATAGGCTAGAAGGATGAATGGAAACAAGAGTGATAGAGAGAAAGGGAGAAAAGTGCAGTTACAATGTGAGCATTGCCATTAACATCACAAAATAAAATGTATGTGCATGCTTGGATAAGCTAGAAAGATGCAAACAAGTTCAATGAAAAATAAATTTGTTCTGCAGGCTTTTATACAAACCACAAATTTTTCTAAAGTTACCATTTCAACAATCTTCACATGTACAATTCAGTGACATTGTGTTTGTCACGTTGTTCAACAATTACTTGTATAGATTATCAAATTGTTTCTCATTGTAAGTTTTGATTAGCGTTTCTCCAAGTATTATTAACAAGTTTTGGCAATCTGAATGTAAATTTCAGATGTCCTTTTCTGTAAGATGTTTTTTAAGAAGACTCTGCCTTATGGTCAGAGTGGTAGAATAATTCTCATGGACTAGAACAGTTCAGATGGTCTGAGTGGGCTTTTAGGAGTTGTATTTGAGTATAGTGAATGTACACATACAATTCAGTGGCAATTATGCTTCCAGATTGTTCAACCATCACCAATATCCACATTGATACATATTCAACCTTTGTCAATATGTAAAGTTCATAAACTAAGCATTGAATAAATAAATGTTAAAAATAAATATAGTTGTTTCATCCACCCAGGAGATTGCAGGCATTTAAAAGCAATTTTTATGGTTCTATAACGTAGAAACATACCTTCTGGGTTTGCTTGAACATCTGGAATGTGGGTAATATTTTGATGTGATATTCTTGAGACAGTTCCTGGGAAAGAAAAGAAATAGGATGAAGTCCCAGTTTTGCATGTCCTCTCTGTGCCAAGTATGCTACTTGGTGACTTCTCGGGTGGCATGTTATTTGAAGTATTCAGAATAGGCACTTTATGAAGACAGAAATAGATTAGTGATTACCTTTGGCTGGGGGCTGGGTGGAGGTGGGGGATAGTTAGGAATGACTACTAAAGGGAACAGGGATTTCTTTGTGAGAGAATGATGTGATGTTTGTATGGCTCTGTAGATACACTAAAACCCACTGGACTGCACACTTTATACAAATGAATTGTATAGTGTGGGAATTATGTATTTAAAAAAAGCTGTTAAAAAGACAAGGAGTTAATTGAGTGTGTATTTTGAAGACAGGAGTGGTATCCACTTCCTAAAGAGCATGATTCCAGAAACTCTATGAACGTTGATAAATGTCGATAGTTGTAGAGGGGCTTCAGGCCTTTTGTTCATAGAGTCGCCATGAGTCGTGCTTCACTTGAAGGCAATCAACAACATACCACCAGAACTCCTTAAGACATAAACAATAGGGTCATAAATCGTGGTAAAATATCTTTAATTTATTGATTAAGGGTTTAGATATTGATCTACAATCTACTGCAAGGGGTGATAAGCATTTTTCTCTTAGAGTTCAATTCCACAGATTGGTATTGTCTGTATAAAGCAATTTTGCTGAGAAGGATTCTGATTCTGGATCTGGGTCCAGACTGGATGGTGAAGGAGGTTGGGATTGGTCAGGGAACTCAGCCCTATTGAGGGAAGCGCCAGTAGGAGAGTCACATATTTACTGTGTGTTGTTTTTTTTTCTTTAATAATACAAACCATGCAAAAGAATTATGAGGGACTTTTCTACCATCACTAGAACTAATCATAAACTTATTGATATTTTTAAATGATCACTGATACAATGTTACTTAATTACATTGCATTTGAATTTTAAGTATCAACACTGAAGATTTTCAAATTCTTACCGGAGAGTCATCCACATCCACATGACCAAACTTTACATTTGGATATTTCAGAGACATTGCCTTGAAAAGAAAAGTATCAAAATTCCCTATTAGTTTAGTATTAGTATTAAAATGATGCCTTTTGGCAAAACAAAAACAAGAGGGGACATTTCTTCAATATAAAGCTGTTCTTGAATGAAGCCAATTTGAGTTGCTGTTGTTAAGTGCCATCACGTTGATTGTAACACATCACAACCTTGTGAACAACAGATCTGAACCTCCCGCTTTCCTGCACCATCCTTATCATCTCTGATATACTTGAGCCCATTGTTACAGTCACTGGGTCAATTCATCTCATTGAGGATCTTCTTCTCTTTCACTGCCCCTAATAAACACAATAATCATCAGGGAGAAATTAGCTACACCTTAAGATAAAGGAAATGAACATCCTTATAACCGGACTAAAAAACGTCTTGAGAATCTGATTGACGCTGTGAAGAATTTTTACTTGGCTCTACAATCAACATCTGTGAAAGCAACAATCAAGAAACCAACAGATGCATTTCATTGGGCAAATCTGTTGCCAAGAGACTCTTTAAAGTGTTAAAAGAGCAATTATGTATGTCACTTGGAGGACTAAGGAATGCCTGGCTCACATCCTGGTATTTCCAATTGCCTCATATTCATTTAAATGTTGGATCACCCTTCTTTGGAAGGGATAACAATATGAATCACTTTCAGTTTGCCAGATGTCCATCTTCCAAATTTCTGGACATAGATAAGTGAATACTTACAGTATTGTGTCAGTTTGAATATCTGAATTGGCACTAGATAAATTTCTGAGGCCTTGTTTTTTACCAATGCTTTCAGGGCAGCTTGGACATGTTCCTTCAGTATTATTGGTTCTTGGTTATATGCTACATTCTGAAATGGTTGAATATCACCCAGTTCTTTGTGGTACAGGGAAAAATTGGAGAAATTGACTTTAAAATATTGCTGTGTTGTTTATATAATGAAAAAAAAATTATAATGCTTACCTGTAATCTACTCCAATATTTGCAAGTTCTGAATTCATGGCTTGGCTTCAACACTGTTATTCTAATTTAATAATCTATTCATTTTACCCCCTCTGTCTTTGATGTTCTTTGCAGAAGTATCTATGGGAAAACAGTCCTATTATTCTGTCACATGCACTAGTTATCTAATTAGATTTCAGTGTGATATTTTCTGATTAATCAGGATGCTTCCAAAAACTATGGCTGATAAAATGACAAACTTCAGAATAATTGGGGAAAATATTTGGAGACTTAAAATTCCTCCTAGAAGTGTGGCATGAGTACATGCTGGTGATACTTACTTGGAAAGCAGGATGTATCATTTTACACGGACCACACCATCTTGCTGAAAACTTAATCACTACAAGTTTGCTTCCAGCACCTTTTAAAAAACCTTGTAATTCATCCTGAAACCAGAACATAAATGGAAAAAAAAAAGGACAAAAATCACTGAATCTCATCATGCCTTGCAGAAAATAAAATGTTTCATTCCTAAAAGTCTAAATCAGATGCCCCATCTTATTGTTCTTCAGATGACCCTACTTTGCTAAATATTTATGGGGCCAAATAGATTTCTCTTTGGAAACACATATGCTGTTATATGCAGTTAATCCTGATTTTAGAGATCCTATAGGACAGAGTATGACTGCCCTACAGTGTTTCCAAGCCTGTATCTTTTCCTCAGGATTGATGCACTCAAACCATTCGCCTTTTGGTTTGCTGCTGTGTACGTATCACTGGGCCACCAGTGGCTGAATGTGAGTACATAGAAATGTCTGTGAATTCACAGGGAACCCTGGTGGCAGAGTTTGCAGTCTGTGGGATGTTTTTCTGCTAACCAAAGGCTGAGCATCTCTGGAGGTTCAACTCTACCAGCAGTTCTGAGGGAGAATGATGGGCAACGTTCTTCTGTGCAATTTACAACCTACAAAAACTCACTGGAGGGTCAGCTATACGTTGGTTCCAACTATTAAGTATTAGGCAATGAGTTGAACGTTTTTGAGTCGTTAACAAAATTAAGAATCTGCTTACCAAACACTAAAGCAAAACCAAATCCAGTTGATTCTAATAGTGACCCCAGGTGTTTCAGAGCAGAACTGTTTTCCACAGAGTTTTAAATGACTGCAATTTTGTGGGCTAAGGTCACTAGATGGCTAACATAAAGGGTGGGAGTTCAAAAAGGATACCAAGGAAGAAGAGGTCTGACAACCTGCTTCTGTTAAAATTAAAGCCAAGAAGTCTCAATGAAGTAATTCTATGCTGTTGCATAAGGTCAACGTGAGTCAGAATTAACTTGTTCACAACTAGAAACAGCTGTGTTACAGGAAGCAGCTTGCTAGTACCGTAGGCAGTGGGTGTTGTTACTACTTTTCTTTTCACATACAAGACAACTGAAGTTAACTATTTCAAGGCCAGCCAGCCACTACTAGAGTGTGAACTCGATGACTCCTAACAACAGCAATATTTATGAATCTGAAGTGAACAGGTAAAATTTGTGTGAAATTATTCACTACAGATCAGTAAGTAAACACAAGAAATTTGGCATTTTTATTGCCTATTGGGTCTCTGACACTGTGAAAACTGTAAAACTAAACCAAACCAAGCCCTATAGGACAGAGTATAATAGTCCTGAGAAGGTTTCCAAGGCTGTAGTTCCTTGAAAGAGTTAATCACAAGGTCTTCTTTTGTGGAGGAGCTCATAGTAGCCTTGAGCTGGCAAACCTTTTGAATAGCAGTAAAAAGCTTAACTGCTGAGCAGTAAAATGCTTAACCGCTGTACACCAGAGCTCCTTCCTTTCTATGAGGTGGCACCTGAACTTCTCTTTTAAAGGTAGTTTTCTTTTTGTCATTTTTTTTTTTTTTTATATTCAAAGAGTTTAGGGAACTCTTGGAGGTGTAGTCTGTAGGGAGCTGTTCCCTTAACCCAAAGGCCATGGCTCTGTGGGCGTTAGGATCCACAGTGTCTCCCCTGGAGGATGAGAAGTATTCTCCTTCACAATTCACAGCCTTTTAAAACCTTCTGGAGAGTCAGCTATGAATTGGTTCTGATGTGAAGGCAATGAGCTTGTTTTTAGGTGCCCTCAAGATGATTACATCTTATAGTGACCCTGTTGACAACAGGTCAGACATTTGCCCTATCCTTCGCCATTCTCATGATCTCTTCACGCTCAAGTCCACTGTTACAGTTACTGTGCCCATGTATCTTGTTGAGGGTCACCTTCTCTTTCTCTGACTCTCCACCTTTCCTAGCATATTGTCTTTTTCCAAGGACTGGCTCCTTCTGACAACATGCCTTGGTATGAGCGATGAAATTTCACCATCATTGCCTCTGTCCTCGGACACCCTGGTTGAACTACCTCCAAGACAGGCTTGTTAATTCTTTGCTTGTAGCCCAGGACATATTCAGTATTCCTCTCAAACATCACAATTCAGGGTCATCTGTTCTTTTCCTGTTACCCTTATTTATAATCCAGATATATAAGGAACAATTGAAAAGACCTTGGCTTGGATCAGGCACATCTTAATCTTTAAACTGACATTCTTGCTCTTTAGCTCTTTGGAAAGGTCCTTAACAGCAGATTTTCCCACTGGTACACATCTTCTGATGTTTTTAACTTCTCTTACTATGGGTGTTAATTGTGGGTCCAAGTGAAATTAAATAGTCAATAACTTCAATCTTCAACTATAATGATTTTTTTTTTACTGTTGATATTTGACTGTGTGGATCATAACAAACTACGGCTAACATTGAGAAGACTGGGAGTCACATAGCTCTCAATTACGCTCTTATGAAACCTATACCAAACCAAAAAGCTGTTACTCAAATGATGCAAGGAAACAGCACATGGTTTAAAATCAGGAAGGCTATGCATCAGAGTGGCAGCCTTTCTCTATTCAATCTGTATGCTGAGCAAATCATTCGAGAAGAAGATAGCGGCATCAGGATTGAAGAAAACATCATTATCAATCACCCGAGTTACATAGATGACACACTTTGCTTGCTGAAAGTGAGGAGAACTTGAAGCTTTTGCTGCAGAAGATCAAAGACCACAGCCTTTAATATGGATTGCATCTCAACATTAAGAAGACAAAAATCCCCACCACTGGACTGAAAGCAACATTATGATCAGGAGACATAATGCATTGGGCAAGTCCATGGTCAGAGTTCTCTCCAAATTCCTGAGGAGCAGTGTTATCAGTTTGAAGACTGAGGTGTGCCTGATTCAGGCCATGGTCTTTTCACTATGCAGCTGAGAACTGGACAATGAGTAAAGATAACAGAAGAGTTGAGGCCTTTGAGTTGTGGTGTTAGAGGACTGAATAGCCCATGGACAGCTAAAACAACAAACACAAAGGTCTGGAGAAAGTGCAGCTAGAGATGTACTTGGAGGCACGGGTGGCAAGTTTTGTCTCACATACTTTGAACTTGTTGTTAGAAGTGACTATTCCTTAGAAAGGTACATCATCCTCGGGAAGCTGGAGGGTCAGCACAAGAGATCAAGACTTAACTAGATGGATTGACACGGTGACTGAAGCAGTGGGCGTATGTCAGAGATGAAGAGGATGGCACAGGCTAGGACAGGATTTAGATCTGCCATTCATAGGGCCATTATGAGTTGTACTTGGATCCTCAGCACCTAACAATATTATGATGTTACTTATCATTCTAGTGGTGAGGATTTTTGTTTTCTTCATGATGAGATGTAATTCATATTGAAAGTTGTAGTCTTTCAATCTTCTACAGTAAAAGCTTCAAGTTCTCCTCACTTTCTGGATGCAAGGTCATGTTATTTGCATAATGCAGATGGTTGACGAGTCTTCCTCCAATTCTGATGCCACATTCTTCTTCATAGAGTCCAGCTTCTTGAATGATTTGCTCAGCACACAGATTGAATCGATATGGAGAAAGGATGCAACCCTGATATACCTTTTCTGATTTTGAGTTTCTGTAAATTTAGTGCTAATACATGACAATATTTTACTGTGGACTGCCAAACTCGACTCATTGCTGTGGAGTCAGAACTGACTCATCACTCACCCTCCATGGGATTCCTGAGACTGTAAATCGCACAAGGGCGAATACCAAACACCCATCTTTCTCTGCAGAGCCACTGGTGGATTTGAACCACCAGAGAGATGTGGCCTTTGGGTTCGCAGCTCAACTCCCTATGGACTACAGCCACAACTGCCCAAAAAACCAAAAAATCTGCTTGGGAAGAAGTGCCACAGCCACGGTGCTCTTTAGGAGCAAGGATTGTAAGATTTTTCTCATTGACTTTGGTCATGTTGTCAGGAGTAGATGTCCTTGGGAAAGGGCATATGGCTTGGAAAGGTGATGTGTCACAAAAGACAGGAAGATCCTCAACCAAATGATTGACACACTGACTCCATCATGGAGTGCAAGCACAGCAGAGATTGTGAAGATAGTGTGAGATTGGGCAAGTGATCTTTTGACCTAAGGTTGCTATGAGTCAGAGTAGAGTCATTGATATTCAACAACAACATTTTACCAACATGTCATAATCATGAATCATAAATTATCAACACAGATAAAAACTAATTTTGAATTTATAGGTATAAATAAATGAGGCAATGAATACACTGCAAGATTTAATAAGCCTTTCCTTTTTTTTAACTTTTAAAAATATAATTTAAAACTATTCTGTACAATACGTTAATCTTACAAATGCAAAAGTTTATCAGCTGCTAAAGCACTTGCAAAAACTATACATACTACTTCAGCTTTATTGCAATGTTATCTATTAAGAAAACATTACTTTAAAAAAAGAAAAATATTACTTTTTCAATCAGAAGACCTAAAAATGCTTTCAATATAGAAGAGACAATCTGATTTTAAAGACAATATTCTGTAAGAACATCTACCAAGAAAATAGCAAACTTTCACAGGATACCAAGATGGAGAGATGCTTCGACAAATGTGGCACCAAGCATTGTTAACAATCAGGGCACGGTGCTTAACCCAAACTGTGTCAGAATTCTTCATTAGAAATCTAGAGGCCACACAAGGTGGCTTCTTACATTTGAAAAGGTTGAGACATTTTTCAGTTGAGCATTCTGAATTTCTCTTCCATAGCAAAACCCATGCTCTCAACAGCCGTTGGCAAGCTTTCTTCCATCTGCGCGTTCTCTCTCATAATTTAGAATAACTAGAAATAATAACTTCCACTTATTTATGTTATATTTATGATATAAAACATAAAGTTAAATACACTTTGAAAAATTTAAGCTTTCACAAAACCCAAATATAAATTTGTTGTTGTTGTTGTTGTTATGTGCCGTCGAGTTGCTTGCGACTCATAGCGACCCTATGTACAACAGCCCTAAACCCTGCTCTATCCTGTGCCAATCTCATTGCCTCTGACACATACATCCCGATTACCCCAGT